TTCTGAGCCAGGCCTCTCTTTTTCTGCCTTTAGGAGTTTGTAACCTAATTCAGACCACCCTCTCTAACCTTTTAAATCTTCCATTATTCAGTACTTAAGCAGTACAGGAAGAAACAAGGAGTTAGGACGTGTCCTCCATAACACACTTCCTCACCTTCCATGCTCAAAGATGTCCTCAAGGGATTCCAGTACGTTAGCGAAGATCCTCGAAAGAGAGGAAAAAGTTAGAGACGCTTTGAGTGGGAGAGGATCTCAGGGACTTGCTATTCCATATCTTCATTATATAGGTTGCGTCCCTGACCACCCCGGGAAGAATAGTGGCTGCCATTTATTGGGCATCCATGTGCTTCACACAAATTCTCATTCAATTTGTCAACTAGCTGGTGAGGCTGGAGTTATTATCCTCACATTATATATTAGAACATTGGGACTGAGAGAGGCTAAGGAAATTGCTCAAAATCACACAACCAGTAAGTGGGAGAGTCCAGGTTTGACTTCAAGTCAGATTCCTAAACCACTCTTCCCACTACTCATTGCCGCTTACTAAGGATCACATGGGAACTTAGTAGCAAAACAAGGATTAGAACCAAGGTCTAGACCCCCAGTCTGACCTTTCTACTCTCTTATGCTCTATGTTTATTTTAGAGCCTTCCCAAGAAAGATTCCACTTGTCCCGGGTAATATGCTTAATACCTCACAATTAAGAAGGTTCAATTCCATGTTTATTTTTATTTATTTATTTATTTACTTATTTATTTATTTAAGAGAGAGAGTGCATGCACATACATGCACAAGCACACAGGTGGGTGGAGGGGCAGAAGGAGAGAATCTTCAAGCAGACTCCCCGCTGAGCACAGAGCCCAGTTGGGGCTCCATCCCACAACCCATGAGATCATGACCTGAGCAGAAACCAAGAGTCAGATGCTCAATTAACTGAGCCCCCAGGTGCCCCCAGTTTGATGTTTAATAGAGATGCCCCTGACCTCTTCCTTAATCTTCAATGTCATCTTGTCTTAGTGTCTCTTCCCTTTTTTTTTTCTTCTTTTCTTTCTTTTTTTGTTTTTTGGGTTTGTTTTGTAATACACAGTCACCTTTGGGTTTTAAGACTTCTTAATCTATGATGGTTCTTTTTTTGTTTTACTGGAATTCATTCAATTTTATAGGGTAATTTCAGGAATCCAACAAAAAATTGGGCAAAGGCATAAAATAGCAATTTACATAAGGAAAACAAAAAAAAGTATACCAACACATGGAATAAAAAGACAGCCTTACTAGTGATTAAATAAATACATATAACTGATAAGTAGTTCTTTTTCCCCCCCTCAACCTAATGACTCCCAGTGTTTGTGAGATTGTGGTAAAATAATTTTCTGCTGGTGGTGTTATAAGATGGGGCAACCTTTGCAAAGCCTTATGACATGCATATCAGGAGCTATAAAAATGGTAACAACCTTCAACCCTGTACTTTGGTTTCTGGAAATTATTCAAAGAAATAATTGAATAGGAAAAAGAAAAAAGAACCCTAGATACATAAACGTGTCCATTGCAGTGTTGTCTATAATTGTATTTAAAAAATTACAAAATAAAAATAAAAGAAACAATCTAAATATTCAACACTAAGAGAACCAATTGGATAATGTTATATTGACTCAGCATATTGTACTATATAACAATTTAGAATAATTCACAGGAGTGTGAGGTAGTATGGAAATATTTATTGCCATTATGATGTGAGCTAAAAGAAAGTAGGATACAAAATTGCATATTATAATCTACCTGTGAAATGCATTATGCATATCAACAAAACTGAAAGGTAGCATACAAAAATAAAAATGCTCCTGCCATTTAGGGGGATTGTGGGTAACTTTTTTTCTTTTTCAACGTTTTCTTTGATGTTGATGTCGTATTGCTTTTATTGTTTAAAAGAATGAGGTAGGGCAAATGTTACAGGGAGTCCAGGCTCTGGACTGAGAGCTAAAGGACCTGAGTTGTCTTCTTTTTTTCCAGCAGGACATGCATTATTGGCCTTCATAAAGCCTCAATCTCTCAGTCTACACAATGGATTAACATTAGTTTCCTTTACCCCAGATTGACAGAATGTTTATTTTATAAATCTTTTAACTCACTGAATGCAAGGGTTCACATAAATGTGGTCCTAGGAGAATGAGAGGTGGGAGGGAGAGGAAAAGATAAATAGGCACTAATTAATTTTAAAAGGAAAGATCGTCCGCTTTAATCGGAAATGCTTATGTGCTGTGCCCCCAGTCAGAGTTTTAAGTGCACTCCGTGTTAGTTAGCAACTTCAACTTAAAGTGGTACTGTGTGATCCTCTGGGCTTTGAAGATGGAAGCCTATATACATACACATGAGCTAAAATTACTGCATAGTCACGAGGCTGTGTGCACTCTGAATAATGAAATGCACAAAGCAACTCCAGCTGATGGATTGACGATGTGTAAGGGCAGCGCAAAAACCACGTGCCAGGGAAATTACAAGACATTTTGAAATGATGGTTTAATTTCCAAGCTTTCTTTTCAGCTTGTGCTTTCTCTTTTAGCCATTACAGGCAAGTAAAAGAGATTTGATTATCTTGTTTCCTGTGAAAGGTTACTTAGCTTCTCAATCCCATTAAGTCACTTTCTGCACTCCAGTGCACCCAGCCTTCACCAGGTTATCAGCCCAGGAAGAGTAAATGGAGACACCAGGATCAGATTTCTAAAGGAAGGAAAGTTAAAGCAAAGTTTGAAAGGGGTGACAACCAACAGCCAGGAGCTTAGGAACTCAATTAGACTGAAAGACAACTATCTCATTATCTCGTTCTGAAATGATCTAAATACATAAGAATCTAAAAGTTTTAAATAAACTTGTCCTACTCACTGTCTAGATGACTGAATTTCCCTTCTCAAAAAATTTTAAACACCCACTTTCGTATTTATTTATTCTAAGTGCGAAGCAGCTGTGATAATTATGCTGTCAGATTCAGTAAGCTAATGAGGAGTCAGTCGAATGGAAGGTTTTGCTTTTGTGGGATTGCTGCGGGAGAAATGCTCTGCTGCTTTTTTCCCTTCTCTCTTTTTCTCTCTTTCTTCCTTTTTTTTTTTTTTTTTTTTCTTGTTTTTGTTTCCTTTTTCTAGAGTCGGGCAGTCCCCGGCCGGCCGGGCCAAATTGGAATCCCTTTGATGAACTGGTTGCTTTCCCAACACTGTTCCACCAGAGAATTTCTCCCTCTTTCCCTCTCCCTCTCTCTCTCTCCCCCACTCCCCCCCTCCCCACACCCTCCCTCCCTCTCTCTCCCTCTCTCCTTCCTCCCTGGCCTTTGAGGGACAAGGAGGCCCGAGGGAAATCTTCATGCCACTGTCCCCAAGGCAAGAGGACACTTCTCCCTGAGGGAAATTCCCAAAGTGGTTTGGGTTTGAGTTGATTTGAGAGTGATCTGTGAAGTTTACACACTGTTTATTTTAGCTGTTTATGCTATGACATGAGCTAGAAAAAGTACAGAATTGTGTATTATAATGTACTGTGAAGATGTATTATGCATACCAACAAAACTTGACGTCTCTGCTTTATAGCCTAGCAAAGGTGTAATGCCGAACCCAAAGACTCAAGGCCCCAGACTACTCGTGGCATCCAAAGCAGATGTCTAGGCCAAGGGAGGCAGAGATGGCCCTGCAGGTTTATTTCCGCTCTTTGGGTGTGAGCAGCTTCCAGCAAACAATATTATTAAGCCATCTTAGGCTTTTGGTGTGCCAAAGCTAGACCCTTATCTTTCTGTTAAATTGCACAATATTTAGAGCACTCCAGGTTCGTGCAGATTGTGAGCCTTGGAAAAGCAATGCCCAAGTGAAAAGAGGTCCTGAGTAAGTTTGTGATGACAATTGCTTTGGTGACAACGTGGCTGTTGTTTTTCCTAGATGGTATCTATGCTGAGGGCTTGGAACAAAGGCCACTAGTTATTCAAATATATTACATATCAAGAACAACCCAAGATGTTTTGAATATATTATCGCCTTTAAACTTACAGCAATCTGCCAGGAAGTTTTACTATCCCCATTTTGCAGATGAGCTCCTTAAAACGTTAACTTTGGGAGGACTTGACCTATAATTTTCATGTAGTAAGCACCCAGGAACAACACACACTTGAACACAGGCATTTATAAAAATGCCAACTGCCAGCATACTGAACTAACCCAATAAATCAGAGGGCAAAGGTAGTGTGTGTGTGTGTGTGTGTATTTTTTTTTGCAAAGAAAATTTTTTTAATTTATAAAAGTTGTACCATAGGGTCTATTCAAATAGATTGCCTAATGTAACTAATGCACCAGAATTTAAAATTTTCTGAAACACATCTAGCCCCAGCATGATGCTCATTGCCTGCCATCACTGGGACTAATGTCCAGACTCCTTGGCTTGATATTTACTCCCTTTACCATCTGGTTCCAGCTCATTTTTCCAACTTCATCTACTAGTCTGTCTTGCTCTAACCGTGCAGTTCCTTCAAACACTTTCCTTCCCCTTTGCCTTTGCTCATGCTGATCCTCCAGCCAGCAATATTGTCCCTGGAATTTCTTGACTGTTGAAAGTAGAGTCTTCCTTCACGGTTCAAAGGGCACTTGTCCATGCTTTTCCTGTGCTCCGTGGAAATGTGAGAGAGGAGCTGTCGTAATTCTTTACTTGTATCTCACATTCAGCCCTTGTTTGTTAGTGTGTGTGTCCCCGGTCCTATTCCTGTTTTTTGGATCTTCAACACCTAGCGTAACACTTTACCCAAGTGCTCATTTGGTGAGTATGTGTTGAATTGAATCAAATAAGAGGCACTTGACAAGTATTAGTAGATTCGGTAAAGCGAGTTATCCATGAGTCGGTATGAATTGTTGGTGGGTAAGTCTGCCTCATGTTATGATGTCTCTTCAGGTGACAAATATTACAACAGATATAAAAAATATACCGTGAAACATTCCAGGAAATAATAAGTTGGTGCTTTTCTCTTTTCCTCCCTACAGAGGAGTCTTTGTTTACAGTTTCAGGAGTGAGGCTAAAGCCAGAAATGTGTGACCTTTTGGTGTCCTACCGGAAAGGTCACCACCCAGCCCAGTTTAGCAAATGTTGGTGAAAAGAGGGAACGACATCACCAACATCCTTTCGGGTAAGGGATCCCAACTGTGAGTCTTCTTATGGACGGAACTGAAAATCCATCAACGCCAGGGGGAGAGGACATTGTTCATAGATTCAGAGCACCTCTGTTCTGTGTCCAGCTCTTCATTCCCACTCTAGGGACAGGGGCCTAGCCTCTTCGGGCTGCAAAAGGAGGATGATAATGTGCATCAACTGTCTCTCTCATTCCCAGAGGAGTAGTAAGACTCTGAAGACAGAACTTACAAGGCATTCTAAGGCCTTAAACTGATACATGTGGAACAAAGTACCACACCGGCATGTTGCATTCCCTTAACTATGTAGCTCTCTCCATCAGCTGATAGTACAAATCAGGGGTCAAAACCCAACCCCAGGGGCGCCTGGGTGGCTCAGATGGTTAAGCGTCTGCCTTCGGCTCAGGTCATGATCCCAGGGTCCTGGGATCGAGTCCCACATCGGGCTCCCGGCTCAGCGGGGAGCCTGCTTCTCCCTCTGACCCTCTCCCCTCTCATGCTGTTTCTCGCTCGCTCACTCTCTAAAAAATAAATAAAATCTTAAAAAAAAAAAAAAAAACCCAACCCCATTTGCTCAAGACTGAGGAGTGTCCTGGGATGTGGGACATTCGGTGCTAAAATCAGCCCAGCCTGGGGTAAACCAGGATGCTTGTTCACCAGACTGGTGCAAATGAAAGCTGGCCTGCCCCCAAATGCCAGAGAAGGACTGGTTCAGGGCCTGGCCCCACTCAGGAGATGATTTTCGATGCTTGTGAGAATCTAGTCATCACTGCTCCAGACTTCTTAGGCTACCCCTTCTGCACAGTTGGTTACAGGGACTTCTCTCATTCAGGGTGAGTCTGGAGAACAACAAGGACCAGATGGGGAGCCATCCACAATGTCTCAGACACCGCTACTCTCCTCACTCAGCCCAGGGTAGCCCAGCCTTCCAAGGTAATCTTGAGGAGGAAGGGGGCTATGCAGAAGTTTTCTGAAACTACCATACCCTAAAAGAAGTTCTGGTAGGCACAGGAAGCCAGGTGGGACAACCCCAAAAGCCATTATAGTATAGATACCCCTAGATGTTACAAGAGCACTTCTCATACTGGGCCTTCCCCAGCGGGGAGAGGGGACAGTAGTCCAGATAGAGGAATCAAGGTGGGACCCATACACAAAGCCAGCCAGTCAATGGGCCCTGTAGGTGACCCTGGCTATATCCCAAGCCACAAGAATTAGACTATGATTTGACCACCCATTTGGCAACCACAGCTTGGCCATGCTTCCTGACAGAAATTTTGGGGCCTGGATGGTAACCACAGACATGCCCCCCACACCTGCCCGCTCGTAACATCATTCAAATGGCAGGATTCAGCTCTTTGCCACTTTCTCTCGGATCTCTCTTTGGCTGTTGATATTTCGAGGCATGTACATATCCAAGATGTTTGCCTTCTGGATTTTCTAAGATCATTGTATTTAGAAATCTGGAAAGGTCAGGGAAGTTTAGAATTATAGCTGTTCCTCAGCATTTTATGCAATAATCAGGTTTGCATTTTGACAATATGTAATTGGAATTACAACAGGCAACACAATAATATGGTATTTCCCAAGCACCGTATTTTCTAAAGCAGAGATTTTGCTGTGTAATTATGTCACTTTAAACCCGCTAGTTATGAGAACAGGGTGTGCATTAGCTACGTTCTATAAAGTGAGGATTTGCCCTTCATAAAATTATCAAAGACGCTGATGGAAGTGGTCTCAGATGGTGGTGTTCCATTAGCATTACTATTACTTCTAGTATGTTGTTATTTTATTTTACGAAGCAATCAAAAGATAGGGAGATAACCCTGCCTCTCTGGTCTTCAGTGACTTTCCACAAAGGATTATTGCCTGGAGATGTGAAATGGTCATCGTAGAAGGTCCATGAAAGTCAGCCTGTCAAACTTGGCACCGGTGCTAGCAACTGAGAAAAGGAGGAGGCAGTTTTCACCTCTATTGGAGTCACCTCCGGATGTCCCTAGGCCCTTGGTATTAATGTAAGGAGATAAGACCCGTAGGAGAGGAACCACAAGAGGGAAAATCTAGAGCACTTAAACTGTTTAATAAATGGCTCGGGATCAGCAAAATCTGGGTGTGCTGGAGTTAAACAGACCAAAGGTAATCACATAGACACTTGGGGCCTGTAAATCTTTTCCACTAAATTGAATTTATGTTAAAATATTCAGTTTCCTGGAGATTCAAAATGTAAATTGGGATATTAGGACTTGTAACTGGCAGCAATGCCTCCAAATTAAAACTCTTAGAAGAGCCTCAAAATGTCAGTTTCAGGAATGGGAAAAAAAAAAAAGTATACTGATGTCTGCAATGGAGATGTAGAAGGGAACTAATTTGCTGGGGACATATCATGTGCCAGGCACTTTACACATGTTATTTCAAAGCTTGGCATGTTTTGAACAATGGGGTATGGTGTGGTACAAATGCAGTTTGTGTATCTGGAGATCGCTTTTTATTATTTTTTAAAGCTCTTTTGGTTCTTCTTGCCAGAGGTAAGATGTAGTCTCTGTTATAATTTATTATTACCTTTTCCATCTATATATATAATCCCATCAATAACTTGGCCCTAAATGTTTAACAGGTTTTCCTTACTTGATCTGACTCGTATATTTTGATTTTGTTTATTCTTCATTCACTTACAGGGCTACATCACTGCTGTTTCAGTTTTAATTTGCTTTGCCTTACTAAGAAGCTTCAAATCTAACTGCACAATGGACCAGGGTTTTCATACCATCACCTGTGACCTGGAATATTGTAAATATGAGGTCCAAGGGAACGGACATGATACTTGAAGAAAAAGCAATGATTGATTATTGCTGTTGTCATTTGCGTAGAATTTAACATTGATTGACTCAAAAATTAGACAACAGATTGAAATAGTCTGAGAAGAGGATTTCTGAATAATTTTGTCTATTTTGTTATTTGATTGAGAGATCCCTGGGCCAGAAGGACTATGGGCCAGATGAAAGGCTAATGATTAAAAGAATCTGGAGACAGAGCTGGTGCTTACAGAGGCCTGTCCCTCCTGTGTTCACTTATAATTTCCCCCAACAAAAGGACTTCTGTGGCAAGGAGAGGATTAGTCTGAAGTTCAGAAAAATCTCAGGGAAGATGGTTTCTTGGATAAAGTTGTCAACAAAAGTACTTGCTTAAGACGCTTTGTTAAGATTTCCTAGGAGGTGCTTCTTTCTTCATTAACTGGATTATCAAAACACACTACTACCCCTCTCCCGCTAGTTTTTAGAAGTTTGGATTGAACTCCTGGTTAGATTGAAATTTTTTGGCTATCTCCTTGTACTGAATCCCAGTTATCAGTGACGATAGGAAAAAGCGATGAGGAACCTAAGCTCCGATTTGATGGTGGAGATGCTGAATAAATGGGAACAAAGAGTTCCAAAGATGTAATTCAAGCCCTGTTGCACCATTAGACACACATGCGTGTGTGCACCCACAACCCTCAAATAAATGAGAGATCAGTCTCAGCTAACACATGTATCATTTTCCACAATGACTCCTTCTAAAAGAAGCCAGGGAAACTCAAATTACTTCACCTAGGGATCATCTACTCAGGAAATGTAGTAGCCTAGAAACCAAAGACTTCTATATATCCTTTAGAAGAACAAGAAAGAACTAATTAAGAAAGAATTAAAAAGTAATACTAATGCACCCAAAGTCTGAGATGGGGAAGAGGAAAAATGCATACAAATAGCCCAAGGAAATCTACCTTAGTATTTGATTTTAGCAAGGTATTTGACCAAACTTCTCCAAACACACCTGAAAGATGAAACTGTATGGGCTGGATTATGGGGTAAATATATGTGTGCCTTGAAAGTGGTTTTTCAACCTAGACAAAAGCCGATTGTGGTACGGTATAAGGTACAGTCTTAAGCCCCATTCTACAAATATTAATACATATTTGTATTAATCACTTGAATAAAATCAAAGAAGGTACACAATTTATTCACACAACTCATTGAAGTAAGTAATTATTATTAATTTATTACTTCCATTTTACAAAAGGGGAAACTGAGACTCAAAGAAGTTACATAACTCATCCATGGTGGTATACCAGAATTAAGGTACAAAGCTCATGTCTGGCTGTCTCCAATGTGTATGATCTTTCCAAAAATCACATTTCATTTTTGTATATGTAAGTTTTTCTTTCTTTCAATTTTAAGATGTAGTCTCTTCTAACAAACTGACCAAAATATACTCAGGAGATAGTGTATTGCTCTGTTCTGTTCACCTGTCCGTTTATATCCCTTCCTTTTTTTGTTGTTGCTGGGGTTTTTTTTTCTCTTTTGTTTTTTCTTGTCTTTTAATTTCCACTTTGACAGTTACATTCTATCCTTTCATTGTATTTAGTTTTATTTTTATACATATATAAGTTTTTCTTTCCTAAAAATCTTAGGGTCTAGTTTTCTAAAAAAACAGACCAGAATACACACAGAATCCAGTCTATTGCTCTACTGTGCTCACCTGTCTGATTATTTTTTTTTCTTTTTTTCTTCTTCTTCTTTTATTTATTTATTTATTTATTTATTTTTCTAGTTTCAGGTCTCTTTGGATTTGTTTAGTGTATATTTCTCTGGGGTTGTTGTTGCCATTTTAGTATTCTCTCATTCATCTACTCTTTTCTGGGCAGAATGACAAGACAGAAAAACTCACCTCAAAAAAGAGAACAAGAGATAGTACTGACTGCCAGGGACCTAATCAGTATGGACATAAGTAAGATTTCAGAACTAGAGTTCAGAATAATGAATATAAAGATACCAGCTGAGCTTGAAAAAAGCATAGAAGATACTAGAGAATCCCTTTCTGGAGAAATAAAAGAACTAAAATCTAATCAAGTCAAAATAAAAAAGGCTTTTAATGAGATGCAATAAAAAATGGAGGCTCTACAAGATGTCCATCAACAGATGAATGGATAAAGAAGATGTGCTATATATATACAATGAAATATTATGCAGCCATCAAAAACACAAAATCGTGGGGCGCCTGGGTGGCTCAGTCATTTAGCGTCTGCCCTCAGCTCAGGTCATGATCCCAGGGTCCCGGGATCAAGCCCTGCATTGGGCTCCCCACTTTGCGGGAAGCCTGATTCTCCCTATCCCACTCCCCCTGCTTGTGTTCCCTCTCTCACTGTGTCTCTCCCTGTCAAATAAATAAATAAAATCTTAAAAAAAAACATGAAATCTTGCCATTTGCAACGACATGGATGGAACTAGAGGGTATTATGCTAAGCGAAATAAGTCAATCAGAGAAAGACAAGTATCATATGATCTCACTGATATGAGGAATTCTTAATCTCAGGAAACAAAGTGAAGGTTGCTGGAGAGGTGTGGGGTGGGAGGGATGGGGTGGCTGGGTGATGGACACTGGGGAGGGTATGTGCTATGGTGAGTGCTGTGAATTATGTAAGACTGATGAATCACAGACATGTACCTCTGAAACAAACAATACATTATATGTTCAAAAAAAAAGGAAGATAGTAGGAAGGGAAAAATGAAGGGGGGGATATCAGAGGGGGAGATGAACCATGAGAGACTATGGACACTGAGAAACAAACTGAGGGTTTTAGAGGGGAGGGGGTGGGGGGATGGGTTAGTCTGGTGATGGGTATTAAGGAGGGCATGTATTGAATGGAGCACTGGGTGTTATACACAAACAATGAATCATGGAACACTACATCAAAAACTAATGATGTGATGTATGATGACTAACATAACATAATAAAATAAAATTTTTTAAAAAATGGAGGCTCTAACTGCTAGGATAAGTGGGCAGAAGAGAGAACTAGTAATATAGAAGACCAAATGATGGAGAATAAAGAAGCTGAAAGAGAGATAAACAACTACTGGATCACGAGGGGAGAATCCAAGAGATAAGTGATACCATAAAGCAAAACAATATTAGAATAAATGGGATCCTAGAAGAAGAAAGAGAGAGGGGGCAGAAGGTATATTGGAGCAAATTATAGCAGAGAACTTCCCTAATCTGAGGAAGGAAACAGGCATCAAAATCCAGGAGGCAGAGAGAACCCCCCTCAAAATCAATAAAAATAGGTCAACACCCCAACATGTAAGAGTGAAACTTACAAATCTCAGAGACAAAGAGAAAATCCTGACAGCAGCTTGGGACAAGAGGTCTGTAACCTATAATGGTAGAAACATTAGATTGGCAGCAGACCTATCCTTGGAAACCTGGCAGGCCAGAAAGGACTGGCATGATATATTCAGGGTGCTAAATGAGAAAAATATGCAGCCAAGAATACTTTATCGCGCTAGGATGTCATTCAAAATAGGAGGAGTGATAAAAGGCTTCCAGGACAAGCAAAACTAAAAGAATTTGTGATCACCAAGCAGCCCTCTAAGAAATATTAAAAGGGATCCTCTAAGCAAAGAGGGAGCCCAAAAGTAACATGGACCAGAAAGGAACAGAGACAATATACAGTAACAGTCACTTTACAGGTAATACAATGGCACTAAATTCATATCTTTCAATAGTTACTCTGAATGTAAATGGGCTAAACGCCCCAATCGAAAGACACAGGGTATCAGATTGGATAAAAAAAGCAAGACCCATCGATATGCTGTCTGCAAGAGACTCATTTTAGACCCAAAGATACCTCTAGATTGAAAGTGAGGGGGTGGGGGCGCCTGGGTGGCTCAGTCGTTAAGTGTCTGCCTTCGGCTCAGGTCATGATCCCAGGGTCCTGGGATCGAGCCCCGCATCGGGCTCCCTGCTCCGCGGGAAGCCTGCTTCTCTCTCTCCCACTCCCCCTGCTTGTGTTCCCTCTCTCGCTGTGTCTCTCTCTGTCAAAATAAATAAATAAAATCTTTAAAAAAAAAAAATGAAAGTGAGGGGGTGGAAAACCATTTATCATGCTAATAGACATCAAAAGAAAGCTGGGGTGGCAATCCTTATATTAGACAAATTAGATTTTAAACCAAAGACTATAATAAGAGATGAGGAGGGAACTGTATCATAACTAAAGGGTCCATCCAACAGGAAGATCTAACAATTGTAAATATTTATGCCCCTAACATGGGAGCAGCCAATTATATAAGGAAATTAATAGCAAAATTAAAGAAACACATCAATAATAATACAATAAGAGTATTAGATCTGCAATGGACAGATCATCTAAGCAGAAGATCAACAAAGAAATAAGGGCTTTGAATGACACACTGGACCAGATGGACTTCACAGATATATTCAGAACATTCCATCCCAAAGCAACAGAATACACATTTTTCTTGCGTGCACATGGAACATTCTCCAGAATAGATCACATACTGGGTCACAAATCAGGTCTCAACTGGTACCAAAAGACTGGGATCATTCCCTGCATATTTTTGGATCACAATGCTTTGTAACTAGAACTCAATCACAAGTGGAAAATTGGAAAGAACGTAAATACATGGAGGCTAAAGAGCATCCTACTAAAGAATGAATGGATTAACCAGAAAATTAAAGAAGACTTAAAAAAACTCATGGAAACAAATGAAAATGAAAACACAACTATTCAAACTCTTTGAGATGCAGCAAAGGTGGTCCTAAGAGGGAAGTATATAGTACTACAAGCCTTTCTCAAGAAACAAGGAAGGTCTCAAATACACAACCTAATCCTAAACCTAAAGGAGCTGGAGAAAGGATGGCAAATAAAGCCTAAACCCAGCAGGAGAAGAGAAATAATAAAGACTAGAGCAGAGATCAATGAAATAGAAACCAGAAAAACAGTAGAACAGATCAACGAAACTAGGAGCTGGTTCTTTGAAAAAAATGAGTAAGCTCGATAAACCCCTGGCCAGACTTATCAAAAAGATAAATTTATCAAATAAATAAAATCATGAATGAAAGATGAGAGACTAAAGAAATACAACTATAAGAACATATTATGAGGGACGCCTGGGTGGCTCAGTTGGTTAAGCATCTGCCTTCAGTTCAGGTCATGATCCCAGGGTTCTGGGATCGAGTCCCACATCGGGCTCCTTGCTCAGCAAGGAGCCTGCTTCTCCCTCTGTATGCCTCTGTCTCTCTCTCTCTCTCTGATAAATAAATAAAATCTTAAAAAAAAAAGAACATATTATGAGCAACTATATGCCAAAAAATTAGGCAATCTGGAAGAAATGTATGCATTCCTAGAAAGGTATGAACTACCAAAACTGAACCAGGAAGAAATAGAAAACCTGAACAGACCCATAACCAGCAAGGAAATTGAAGGAGTAATAAAAATCTCCCAACAAACAAGAGCCCTGGGCCAGATGGCTTCCCAGGGGAATTCTCCAAACATTTAAAGAATTAATACCTATTTTTCTGAAGCTGTTTCAAAAAATAGAAATGGAAGGAAAACGTCCAAACTCCTTCTATGAGGCCAGCATTATCTTACTCCCAAAACTCAACAAAGGCCCCACCGAAAAGGAGAATTACAGACCAATATCCTTAATGAACATGGACGCAAAAATTCTCACCAAGATACTAGCCAACAGGATCCAACAGTACATTAAAAGGATTATTCACCACAACCAAGTGGGATTTATCCCTGGGCTGCAAGGTTGGTTCAACATCCGCAAATCAATCAACGTGATACACTACATAAATAAAAGAAAGGACAAGAACCATATGATCCTCTCAAGTGATGCAGAAAAAGCATTTGACAAAGTATAGCATTCCTTTCTTGATTAAAACTCTTCAAAGTATAGGGATAGAGGGAACATACCTCAATATCATAAAAGCCATCTATGAAAAACCCACAGCGACTATCATTTTTAATGGGGAAAAACCGAGAGCTTTCCCCCTAAGGTCAGGAACACGGCAGGGATGTCCACAATCACCGCTGCTGTTCAACATAGTATTAGAAGTCCTAGCCTCAGCAATCAGACAACAACAACAAAAAAAGTAAAAGGCATCTGAATCGGCAAAGAAGTCAAACTCTCACTCTTTGCAGATGACATGATACTCTATGTGGAAAACCCAAAAGATTCCACCCCAAAATTGCTAGAACTCCTACAGGAATTCAGCAAAGTAGCAGGGTATGAAATCAATGCACAGATATCAGTTGCATTTCTATACACTAACAATGAGACAGAAGAAAGAGAAATTGAGGAGTCAATCCCATCTACAATTGCACCCAAAACCATAAGATACCCAGGAATAAACCTCACCAAAGAAGCAAAGTATCTGCCCTCAGAAAACTAGAGAACACTCACAAAAGAAAGTGAGGAAGACACAAAGAAATGGAAAAATATTTAATACTCATGGATTGGAAGAACAAATATTGTTAAAATGTCTATGCTACCTAGAGCAATCTACACATTCAATGCAATCCCTATCAAGATACCATCTACTTTTTTCACAGAGCTGGAACAAATAGTCCTAAAATTTGTATGGAACCGGAAACTAGACCCCGAATAGCCAAAGGAATGTTGAAAAAGAAAAGCAAAGCTGGTGGCATCACAACCCTGGACTCCAAGCTCTATTACAAACCTATAATCATCAAGACAGTATGGTACTGACACAAAAACAGACACATAGATCAATGGAACAGAATAGAGAACCCAGAAGTGGACCCTCAACTCTATGGTCAACTAATCTTCGACAAAGCAGGAAAGAATAGTCAATGGAAAAAAGACAGTCTCTTCGGGGCGCCTGGTGGCTCAGTCAGTTAAGCGTCTGCCTTCAGCTCAGGTCGTGATCCCAGGGTCCTGGGATCCAGCCGCGCATCAGGCTCCCTGCTCAGCGGGGAGTTTGCCTCTCCCTCTCCCTCTGCCTGCCGCTCTGCCTACTTGTGCTATCTGTCTGTCAAATAAATAAATAAAATCTTAAAAAAAAAAAAGTCTCTTCAACAAATGGTGTTGGGAAAATTGAACAGCCACATGCAGAAGAATGAAACTGGACCATTCCCTTACACCACACACAAAAATAGACTCAAAATGAATGAAAGACCTAAATGTGACATAAGAATCCATCAAAATCTTTGAGGAGAACACAGGCAGCGACCTCTTCAACCTTGGCTGCGGCAACTTCTTGCTAGACATGTTTCCAAAGGCAAGGGAAACAAAGGCAAAAATGAACTATTGGGACTTCATCAAGATAAAAAGCTTTTGCACAGTGAAGGAAACAGTTGACAAAACCAAAGGACAACCGACAGAATGGGAAAAGATATTTGCAAATGACATATCAGATAAAAGGCTAATATCCAAAACCTATAAAGAACTTATCAAACTCAACACCCAAAGAACAACTAATCCAATCAGGAAATGGGCAGAAGACATGAACAGACATTTCTCCAAAGAAGATATCCAAATGGCCAACAGACACATGAAAAAATGCTCAACATTACTTGGCATCAGGGAAATACAAATTAAAACCATAATGAGATACCACTCACACCAGTCAGAATGGCTAAAATTATCAAGTCAGTAAATGACAGATGTTGGCAAGGATGCGGAGAAAGGGAACCCTCCTACACTGTCGGTGGGAATGCAAGCCGGTGCAGCCACTCTGGAAAACAGTATGGAGGTTCCTCAAAAAGTTGAAAACAGGGGGCGCCTGGGTGACTCAGTCGTTAAGCTTCTGCCTTCGGCTCAGGTCATGATCCCAGGGTCCTGGGATCGAGCCCTGCATCGGGCTCCCTGCTCAGCGGGAAGCCTGCTTCTCCCTCTCCCACTCCCCCTGCTTGTGTTCCCTCTCTTGCTATGTCTCTCTCTGTCAAATAAATAAAATCTTAAAAAAAAAAAAAGGTTGAAAACAGAGCTACCCTATGACCCAGCAATTGCACTACTCAGTATTTAGCCAAAGATATAAATATAGTGATCCGAAGGGGCACCTGCGCCCCAATGTTTATAGCAGCAATGTCCACAATAGCCAAACTATGGAAAGAGCGCAGATGTCCATCAACAGATGAATGGATAAAGAAGTTGTAGAACAAACACACACACACACACACACACAGAGGAATATTACTCAGCCATCAAAAATATGAAATCTTGTCATTTGCAATGATGTGGATGGAACTAGAGGGTATTATGCTAAGTGAAATTAATCAATCAGAGAAAGACAATTACCATATGATCTCACTCATATGTGGAATTTAAAAAACAAAACAGAGGATCATAGGGGAAAGGAGGGAAAAATGAAACAGGATGAAACCAGAGAGGGAGACAAACCATAAGAGACTCTTAATCATAGGAAACAAACTGAGGGTTGCTGGAGGGGAGGAGGGTGGAGGGATGGGGTAACTGGCTGATGGACATTAAGGAGGGCATGTGATGTAAGGAACACTGGGTGTTATATAAGACTGATGAATCATAGACCTGTACCTCTGAAACAAACAACAACAAAAAAAATCTCAAAGATGTAGCCACTCCCAATTTATTTGGGGAGTGAAAAATGTCATCTGAGTCAACAAAAACAATTTTTCATTTTGTCTTAAATAAGCCATTATCTTTCAGTTTGCTGCTGTCCTGATCCTACTATGGTTTTGTGTGTGTGTGTAAGAAAATAGCTATAATAAATATTTTGCTTTGTTCATGCAGTGTCTTTCATATAGGAGTCTAAGTACTTTATAACTATCTGTAGGTCATTGAGTATAATCACTGTTTCACTGATCAAAAATGTGATGCGCAAGATCCTTCACAAATAAAGAAAATAATTGAAAAAACATCAGTGGTTGCCAGGAGTTAGGAGGGAGGGATGAATAGACAGAGTGCAGAGGATTTTTAAGGCAGTGAAACTAGTATGATACTATAATGGTGGATACATGTCATACAAATTTATCCAAACCTGTAGAATGTACAAGACCAAGAACGACTCTTAATGTAAACTCTCATATTCAGATGATAATGATGTGTCAATGCAGGTTCTGGTAGGGGGAGGCTATGCTGTGTGGGAACAGGAGGTAATATGGGAAGACTCTAACTTCTTTTTAGGGGGAGTTTCTGTAACTTCTGCTAAATATTGCTGGTGAACCTAAAATTGCTCTAAAAATCAAAATCTATTAAAAACAAACAAATAAAAAACCAAAAGAGCTAGTGAGCAATAAACTAATACAATATTTACTCCTATAAAATTTTATCTGATTTAATTTCTTACACTTTGGAAGGGTTTTTTTTTTTTTTAAGATTTTATTTATTTATTTAACAGAGAGAGAGAGAGCGAGAGAGTGCACAAGCAAGGGGAGTGGCAGGCAGAGGGAGAGAGAGAAGAAGCAGTCTCCCTGCTCAGCAGGGAGCTCTACGTGGGACTCGATCCCAGGACCCTGGGATCATGACCTGAACTGAAGGCAGACACTTAACTGACTGAGCCACCCAGGCACCCCAATTTCTTACACTTTAGACTTAAAATGTCAACAAGTTAAGTAAGGCTGTGACTTGGTGGAAATCGGCACTTTTAAGTACAATGTGTCTGGCTGCCCATGAAAGATAATGCCAATACTTTTAGGTGATATAAATGAAAGAATAATAAGATGGTGTCCCAGCGAAGAGAAATAGCTTACTCTCCACTGATCAGGTCCCATCTCAATTATCACTTATCTATCCATCACACTTCAAAAGAAAGATCATATTGAAGTAAATATTTACTGTGTATCTGTTAGTTCACAGATCTAATTCTGTGTAATCCTCTTCACAAGACTAGGGGGTAGGTGTAGTTATTTTACAAAGAAGAACACAGAATCAAATTTAAGTAGACTGGATGCTCAGACTCTTTGTCCCCAAAGTCTGTGCTTTCCCCACTCCTAACCACAACTCTGTGGTGCATGCTCCAAGAGGGGCTACTATGAAAGTAGAGGGCATGGAGACCAAGGCACAAGAAGGAATAGCCCAAAAAGAGAAAACCCAGGGGGCAGAGAAACTCCGTCCAGAGGCTTGAGGGTTCTCACAGAGCAAAGAGGCTGGCCCTCTACTGGGTGGCTGTGGAGCCAAGATGGATACATTGAAAGCTCAGAGATGCTATTTTTGATACAGCAGGAAGAGTCCTTGACCAATTTCACTTGTCCACCAATGGAATGAGTTCCCACAACAGTAGCAGACTTCCTCTGCACTCCAGTTGATAAAGAAAGCTGTAGGAGGGATCCCCATATTGGGGATTAGAATAACTGTCTTCAAGGGTCCCATCCAATCCCAAGATTGTTGAATAAGGACTTGTGAACAGCTGTGAGCAGACTATACATGGAATTATAGTAAGATCATATTGTTGCAAGAACGGGTAGACATTGGGGTTTTTTTTTAAAGGTTTTTTCTTAGGGGTGCCTGGGTGGCTTAGTCGGTTAAGTGTCTGCTTTGGCTCAGGTCATGATCTCAGGGTCCTGGGATCGAGTCCTGGGATCGAGCCCCCAGTCGGGCTCCCTGCACAGTGGGGAGTCCGCTTCTCCCTCACCCTTTGTCCCTCCCCCAGCCTGTGTGCTTGCTCTCTCTCTGTCTCCCCCTCTCTCAAATAAATAAATAAATAAATAAATAAATAAATAAATAAATAAACTTAAGGATTTTTAAAGTAGAAATTGACAAAATTATCCCCTTTAATTATAATGGAAAATAAATCATGCTTGTGCTTTATTCTTTTTCTCCTTTAATTAATGGATTTGCCTATTTAAAACCTTAATAAAAATTATATGTAAAACACCAAGGTCTCTGGGCTCAGACCTAGTTTGCAGTGACATAGCTAAATGCACCAAGAAGGTTGGAATTGTGGGTAAATAGGGGACTCCTTATGGTGCCTCCCTCAGGAAAATGGTGAAGAAGATTGAAATAAGCCAGCACACCAAGTACACTTGGTGCAAAACCAAGATGAAACAACGAGCTGTGGGGATCTGGCATTGTGGCTCCTTCATGAACACCATAGCCAGTGGAGCATGGACCTACACCACCACCTCGGCCATCACGGTAAAGTCAGCCATCAGAAGACTAAAGGAGTGGAAAGACCAGTAGAAGCTCCACCATTTGAAACATTGCTAGCCTACAATAAATGGGTTAATTTTTGTAACAAAATTACTTTGGCTTGTTGTTAAATTTATTAATTAGATCTTCCGATTTGCATTGCATTAATTTTGCTTCTCAAAAGACTTGGAAATTAAAAATCCTTCTAATTTTTGTTGGAAAAAAAAATAAAAATAAATAAAACACCAAAACATTATTCCAGTCTTCCTCCTTGATTTTATAAAAGGAGCATTTCTGGTGTTTATGCATGTTTTTTTCTTCCCATGTTTTTGTTGATTCTCTTGTATAGCCATGCACCTGACCTTTAAATACATAATTTATGATTCAGTTTGATGTATTAGTTATTTTAAGGATGCTTACTCAGTCACTAATGCTACTCACCTAATATTTCTGTCTCCCAGGTTCCATAATTGGATGGCACTTCCTGGCCATCTGATAAGTGGATAAGGCTGTATGATTAGTGCTGGCCAATGAATTATGAGTGGAAGGGATATGTGTCACTTCTGAACCACACATTTATTTGATTGCCAATACAAGACCCTCCAGATCTCTTTTTTTTTTTTTTCCTTCTGTTACAATGACTAGCAGTATTCAGGGTGGTCCCAGAATGAGGAGATAGATGTAGAACAGAGTCCCCAGATGACATATGATGAATATAATGTGGGAAAGAGAAATAAAACTTTGTTTTAAGCCACTAATATTTGGGGATTATTTGTTATTGCAGTATAACCTAGCCTATCCTGACTAGTACTGGGTCACTGTCCAACATGGTAGTTACTAGCCACCTGTGACTATTTACATATAAATTTAAATTTAATTAAGTTAAAAATTCAGTTCTTCAGTCACACTAACCCCATTTCAAGAGGTCAAGAGCCACATGTGGCTAGTGGCTACCACAATGCACATTGCAAATATAGAATATATCCATCATTGCAGAAAGCTTTGTTGAACAGTGATGACATACAGTAGTAGGATTTTTATGAGAGTTGGTAATGATATCTTCTTACTTTTCTTGATACTTTAAGTATTCATCTAATACCACCTTGGAGTTATTTTTGAAAAGTCTCACCTTTCTAAAAACCTCTTGCAGTGTCCAGTGGAGATTACCTTCTGGAAGAAAATAAGTCACTCTGGGCAGTTACATTCCTTAGAACTAGAGGGCACAGAGGTCTTTTCCTATAGGTACATTAGCAAAGGATTGACACCTTTTTGGTACTCTTGATACCTTCCATAAATGAATTCTCATAGAAGTTTTTAGTCCATCCTCTCTGAACATTTTCTACTTCTAACTCCTCTGTATCCCTAAGTAGAATAATGGTCACCTGGTATAAAATCTGAGGGGCTCAGTAATGATTCATCCAACTTTATGAACATCCTTACAAACAATTGTTTCTACTGTAAGAACTGTCATTGGATATTACAAGAAAATCTTGTAGGACCCCCAAACTGAACCAAGATATAAAATAATTCTCCCCAACTACTCATTAATTCATTCAACAACCATCTAGACCCTAGAAATACAAAAAGTAAAGTTCCCCCAAGGATCTTATAGTCTAATGGAGAACTAGATGGAACTAAATATAAGATCCAGTGACAACATATCCATCTGTCCTATCACAGAGGAGATGGCAGTCAGTCTCTGTCTTGAAGTAAGATTTGCTGAGCAGGCAATCAAGGAGATGAAAACAAGATAACCCAAATATAACACTGCATGTTAATTATACTTCAATTAAAAATAAATAAATAAGCCCTGTGTGAGGGAAACACAGAAAGGATAAGATATTTTTGGAATTGAAAGGACAAATCAATTAATAAAGCTATTGTTATTATTATTGGCTATTATAATCAATTCAATGGTTAAATCCATGACAATATTATTTCATATAAGTCCAGACATAGGTGGTTCCAGGATTGATTAATTTGATGGGTCAATGACATCAACAACCCAGTTCTTTCCATCTTTCTTCACTGCATCTTCGATGTCCTTCATTGCCTTATTCTCAGGCTGTTTCAATCATTGTCACTGGATGCTGCCACAGTTTCAGGCATCACATGGAGGTACAACAATGTCCAGTTGAAGAAGAGGACATCTTTCCCTGTGTGCTTCTTTTTTTTAAGATTTTATTTATTTATTTGAGAGAGAGACAAAGCACAGCAGGGGAAAGGGGCAGAGGGAGAAGCAGGCTCCCCGCTAAGCAGGGAGCCCAGTGCCATGGGCTCCATCCCAGTACCCTGGGATCATGACCTGAGCTGAAGGCAGACGCTTAACTGGCTGAGCCACCCAGGCAAAGAAAGCACCATTGTCTTCACATCTAAGTGATCAGACTGTCATATCTCCACTCCTAAATTGCTAGCAAGGGCAATGAGATGACTGCTTTAGAACGGTCAGGAATTACTCCTGATCTGAGGCTAGGATCACCTTTCCTGAAGCGAATTCCTGAATAGTCACGACTTTCTTATAACTGAGGAAGAAGTGAGAACGACTATTGAACAGACAAGCAACAGTTAATTGTGGGATCTGGAGTTCAGGGAGCAGTAGGGGTGGTGGTGGTGGTGAAGAATGGCTATTAGCTTTCCAGTCTGGGGCCTGGATAACTTGTTATATAACTTACAGTCAGGTAGTTAGTTTGAGAGACAAGGCTATGAGCTCATTTTGGACATCTTGAGTTTGAGATATGCATCAGACAATTATAACTGCTGACCTGAGACCAGGAAATGAGAATTGGCTATATGTGGGCATCACCTATATGATAATGTCCTTGAAGTCTCAAAGGTGCAATTGCCCAAGAGAACAAATACAAAGAGAAGAAGTGGAGGGGTGAGAGAAGAAGCACCAAAGGAGACAAAGCATTGGTTGCTAGATTTTGATGGGTTGGAGGGATGAAACAAAAAATGAGAGTCATTCTGGGTGACGAAAGTTAAGAAGAATGTTCTAAGTCTGAATGGCCTACAAAGAAAAATGTCAGGGTGCTATAAACTAAGGCAGGCCATAGATTGTGGTGCGTGCTGGTCATCAGTGACCTATAAGAGAGCAGTTTCTATGGAATGGTAGTCATAGAAAAATACAGTGAAATGGGCGCCTGTGTGGCTCAGTTGGTTAAGCGACTGCCATCGGCTCGGGTCATGATCCTGGAGTCCCGGGATCGAGTCCCACGCCGGGCTCCCTGCTCAGCGGGGAGTCTGCCTCTCTCTCTGACCCTCCCCCCTCTCATGCTCTCTATCTCATTCTCTCTCTCAAATAAATAAATAAAATCTTTAAAAAAAAAAGAAAAATACAGTGAAAGAGTGAGCAGTAAGAAAATAGAAGCAGAGAATATCTTTCAGAAACTGTCATGAAAGGATGGAAAAGATGGAGTACTAGCTAAAGTGTGGAAGGGCTGAAGGAAAAAGAAAGAAGCTGGAAGCATCTGTGGATAGTCTAAATACACGAGGCATGCTCTCTCCTTGGACTTCTGCCTGGCTCCTCCCCTTCTCCCAAACATCCACACAGCCAGCTCCCTTGCCTATATCAAGGCTCTGGTCCAGTGTTGCCCATCTCCTTTGTAAAATGGGGATAATAACAGTATCTGCCTCCTAGAGTTGTTTGTGGGGATTAACTTAGAGTGCCTGCAACTCTAGCTGGCCAGGCTCTTAGAGTATTTTAAACAGTGCCTGGCAGATAGCAAGCACAGTACCAATTAGCTCGTGGTAGTGCTGGTGGTGGTGATGATCATGGTTGTGATGGTGGGGGTGGGGGTGATGGTGGTTGTAGTTACATGGTGGTAGTAGTCATAGTAAAATGGAAGAAAAAGGGACCAGGGAAATTAAAGGTGCCAAGACCATGGGATTCTAGTTAACAAGGTAAGGCAGGAGTCTAGGAGAGCAAAAAGAAATCATGGGGATTTCTAACTTCTAACTAAAGTTAGAATCCTGGTGTCCTGTGGTGAATAAAAGAGTTAATTGGGGTTTAGAGTGAAGTTAGGGGTTGGGGGGAAGGTGACCACACCTGGTTCTGGTTGGCTGTGACTATGGTTCACTCTGGTGAGCCTGGCCAGCTAGAGTTGCAGGCACTTTTTTTTTTTTAGTATGATATTTATTTATTTATTTATTTATTTGAGAGAGTGAGAAACAGCATGAGAGGGGAGAGGGTCAGAGGGAGAAGCAGGCTCCCCGCTGAGCCGGGAGCCCGATGCAGGACTCGATCCCAGGACTCCGGGATCATGACCTGAGCCGAAAGCAGTTACCCAACCAACTGAGCCACCCAGTTGCAGGCACTTTTATAATGAAGTGTACTTGGGTTTTATTAGCCTCCTGCTCTGACAAACATTCAAAATAAAGATAGGTGTTTTAAAATATAAATATTTTTATTTCCAGACAAATTTCAATTCCTGCAAACTTGTATGAAATAATGGCACTGAGATTCTTTTTTGTCCTCTGAGATTTGTCTTTTTTTTCAGTTTTATAGGTATTTTGTAATTTAGTATGTTTAAACAATATTTGAGGAAAGATCTAGGGGATTCGAGGCAAGAAATGCAAAAGGCAGGCTAATCGTACTAACAGAGCCCACTACAATGGCCGTAAAGGGCCACACGTCTCTAGAAAAGACAATTCCCCAAAAGGGTGGCTGGGGAAGGCAGATAAAAGACTGAAGTTGGGTCATGTGACAGGTGTCACTTGAATAACGGTACTGGGCCAGAGATAAAAGCCCACTCCTTTTGGTCACATGACACAGCTTCATTACGCTCCCAGCAGGGGGTTAGAGTGAGGATGCCATTTTTACTTATTTATTTATTTGTGTGTTTTTTTCCCTTATTCTGTGATAATGAGAAAATGTTTAAACTCCCATCTCTGTGTTTAAACATTTCTCCCTGCTGACAGCAGCGGGATACCCCTTGATCAACTGTCAGATTGGAAAGTGCAATTTTTCTGGAAAGTAAACAGCATGTTAGCTGGTTGGAAATAATTTTCTGTTCATTGGTAGCTGTTAGTCCAGGAGTGATGGAGCCCTGTGACAGCACTTGTCAAGTGAGGAATAAGAAACAAGTTTGGAAATACCTTTAAGACATAGTTTTGACAATAGGGCCTTACTATTTTTTGATAGAAAAGTACTCTAAAAAAGTTAAAATGGGCAAAAAAAACTTTCCAATGTTAGCAGCTCCTGGAGATCCTTCTGGCAAAACTGACACAGAGTCAAAGGCAAACT